TGGTTACTTCACAGTCCCTCTACTGTGGTTACTTGAAATCAGACACACGCACTCCTCATTCCATTGTTGTTCCCAGGCCTACTATTACTTGTAAAAGTGAGCGTAGTCTCTCATTACCAGACGCGTCCATCTTACAAGGTCATAGGGTTCAAACTGCGTGAATATTTAATTAAATATGGTTGCGTCTGTTTTAAGAAACGTCCCCTCACGTAAATATGTGATATATCCAGATTGGATTTTTTTAACTTAAGTTGGACCTCTGAAACGAACTTGTATCGACTTCATGTTAAACTGAGCGTAGCTTTCATTACATTATCAGCATTCCATGGTTTGTCTCCACGCTTACTTTTGAAAATGAGCGCAGTCGAGCATTCCATTGTTTGGTTCCACGCTTACTTTTGAAAGTGAGCGTACGCTCAACTAGTATCTTCATGAAAACTGAGACGCTCAGTTACCGCGCTCAACTACTATCTAGAGACCATTTACATACATGCAGTCTTATGGCATCAACATGGCATCAGCTTCAACTTATTGTGACATGAGTATGACCTCATTATTTGCATGCAGAAGGGCAGTAGACAAAAACATGTACAGAAGTTCGATATGTAATCGATTTGAAATTCAAGGCGAATAAAATAATATGATCAAGAGTAAAATGACATTTTAAAAAGATATCTTGTTTAATTATTTTAGTGTTGCGAGTATTGGGCACCAAAAACTTTGCGAAGTACATTACAATCGGCAAGGTGACAGAGTTTCATGTTGACTGGAAGGAAAATCGTGATAAATTCAAATCACACGATGCAATCGTCGCTCTGATACAACACAATTTGCTTTATACGAAGTGGAACTGTTCTTGTTATAAAATTACCCTTTTTTCGCTCATTTTATTTGCTGTTAGAAGAGCAGATTCAGATTCTTCATTTCGGTGGTATTTTTCTGTGTTTCGTTTAGTTTTAGCCGAGTTCGACCTCATGCCCGGAATACTAAAACATGCATACACACGTACGCCGCCTGATGAGTCGGTGTCGTCGCCGGTCATCTTGATACAAAGTTCCAAAACAAGTGCGTACATTTCCAACATATGATTGGATGGTTGTGGTGGCGTCAGTCTGGTAAAATTTGACAACCAATTCTCAAAATTAAGTCACGATCAGTGACCATTCCCACATTTTCAACCATTTTAGCACGGAAGTTGCCAACAAATGTTGAAAACTCGTGAATTTTATGAATTCGAATAAAATAAAGCTAGCGATTGGTAAGACTGGTTAATAATATATCCCCCGATGCTCTTCGATTTTTTTATTTCAAGGTGAGAAATGGATACTAGTAGTTGAAGTTCCATCAATTTCAAGGCGACTATTTAACCGCGACAACTCTACGCTCTGTTGTAGTTTCGCGAGGTGAAACAAAAATACAATAAATAGTACTCGTTTAATTATTTGGTTGTACAGCCCGCAAATTACGGGACATGATCCCCATGAATTGCGATAAATAAATGCTGATTGTGTTGAATGACGGATGTCGGGACCGTTTGGAGAAACAAATTACGGTCGGTAGATATTTCAAACAAATGAAATTATTAACGAAAGACGAGATTTTTCTAGGTATTTACGATCATACGGTCATACCAAATATATGCAAAATTGACAAATACACAAAGAGGTGTAATAGTAGGTCATTTTTATTTTAGCCTTAGAAATATTTTCTTTCACTCAGTCCATGCGCGAGACTTCTATTTAGC